CAACCATTGCAACCCGTTCCCTTTCTATTCCAAACATTGATGGCCTGAAACGTGTTCATCCAACCTCCTTCCCGTCATCCTCTACCCAATCGCTGTGTCTAGGCTCCAGTCACAACAGATGTTGGCTCCGAGACCTCATTGACCCTCGTGCTAAAGCACGCTTCGTTAACACCGATTCTCTTCGCCCCGAAGCTCTAGACTCAGCTAAAGGTTCCCGTATAATTAACGAGGTAGAAGCTACACTTTGTGCACAACTTGTTGAGGCATTTATCTCCGTCGGTATTGCTGCAGAGGACATTGGCGTTGTCACACTCTATCGAAGCCAACTCTCCCTCTTGAAACAGAAACTTCGTCACCATGGTTCGGCGCTTGAAATGCATACTGCAGACCGTTTCCAGGGTCGCGATAAAGAGATCATAATCATGAGCTGCGTAAGAAGCAACTCAGACAGGAACGTAGGTGACTTGCTACGTGACTGGCGGCGAGTCAACGTTGCCTTTACCCGAGCCAGAACCAAAATGCTCATAGTGGGCAGCAAAGCTACACTTAGTGAAGGAAACGAGCTTTTAGGGAAGTTCACAGCTTTAATGGACGAGCATCAATGGCGGTATGATCTACCACCTAATGCCGTCAGCCAGCACTTCTTCGAAGAGCACGATTCACTCTTCACACAAGCAATGAACTCTCGAACTCCGAAAGCAAACAAAATGGCAAACACCCTTTCTCCAAGCCCGACAAAGAAATTGACTCAGCCTCGACTCCCACTTAGCCCCCTGAAGAATAATAAGGCAAACACCTTTCCCGGATCTGCATCGGGCATAAAAAGGCCGCAGAAAGTTGGAAAGCCATTGGATGGAGGAAAAATTGTCAGAAAACGGCCAGTGCTGATGGATGTTCTTAATGATATGCTTGGATGATATTATAGGCCCCCTCTCAACCCTCTAACAGTGTGGTTGCATTGTTTTGGACTCAAATTGGAGCCCCTTGGCTTTCGTGGAACAACTTATTGACCCCCATGTATGTTTCTTGGGCCTCTTAGTTGGGCTTCGCTTTTATAAGCTCATGTTTATAGATTGTGTTCGGAGTTCAGTTCTGGGTATTGTGAAGGAAACAAGTTTAAAATATAGTGCATCCAGGAGTAATAGAATAACTCATCTATATCTGCAGATCCACAGTCAAAAGCTTGCAACATTGCCACCAACGTATTCCCAGCAGATATATTTCCGTCGAGGAGAGGGCTCTTCGTCCTTAGAATCGACATTTTCCTCCTCCCGCTTAGCACTGCTAAAGGGTAATGCCACGACAGAGTAGCCATCCTTCCCATCCACTGCATCCTTCCCCATTGCTGAGACAAGTAGCCCAAACCAGTGGCCAGCACTTGTAGACTTTGAGCCACATTTCCGTCTATATTAAGAAGGTTAGAAGCTTCCAGCTAATATAGATATGGAAAGGAGTCTTACAATACTGATAAAAGTAGCATCATAACCCAGCTGGATGGTATTAAACCTCTCCATGTGATCTTAACTAGATCTGTTGCCTTACATTCCTCTTTCTGCGGAACTTGATATCGGCTTAGATATGGATCGATCGAGTCACTTTCCAGAATCCGGTCTGATCCCAAGGATGCTAGGCCCAACCACTCCTGTAACTCGTCACAGGTCCTACAGAGAGCATCTCTGTCTTCTGTCGGAAGGAGAGTTTCTGAACCGAAGGGTGGTACAAGAACTTTTTCCATCACGATTTCTGCTGGCGAGAGCGTAATAATCTGTGGGTGATACTTTTTGATAGGGGCATCTGCTTCATTTGTTAGGATGGACCAACCAAGAGGAATAAGGCAATGTCGTACCCTCGTCCGTTAAACTTGGGGATTTAGATAAATCAGTAAACAGCCACGTTACAGAGTTGTTTAAAACGTTCTTAAACGCCCATGAAATCCGTTCAAACCCTTTCTTGCCATGTAACATTGATGAGGGCCGGAGATTTATTTCCACCACTAGATTTCCAGTTAGATTAATATATAGATCGAGATCGTCTACTAGGGAGACACCTACTATATCTTGACTTTATGTGTTTCCTATCCCCCGATCGAATGGCCTTTCCCACGAGGCCTGCACGTTCATATGTTGATTTATCGAGTTCAAGTGTAAGAACCCCTAATGCACCTGTTTTAGCACTTGTTGAATAAACTAGAAAGCTATTTCTTACCATCTTTGAGAGTGTAGACATTGTCTATGCCTCTTCTTCCCTCTGATATCATAAGGACATTTCCTATGTATGTATGTTAATATTTATCGTATCGGAAGAAGCAAGCTAGGACACCTACCAATCTTGATATATTTCGTGAAAAAGTCCCCTTCTAGCAAGCCTGATAATGGAAAGATAGCTCGCGCATATTGATATGGTTTAACTTCTCCCAAAATTGAACTCCAGGCTGCCTCGTGTATATGTCGTGGAAGTATTAACTCAACCTGTCGAAAATATCAGCCAGTGTGTCATGGAGATAAGTATTTGTCCCATACCTTGTGATTGAACACATGGCCAAGTATAGCAGAAAAAGGCGCCCTCTTCTGGGGCGGCTGAGCAGGATCAACAAATACAGGCAAATTTCCGATTGATATAAGGCATTTCTCTTTGTCCATCAATGGGTCTTCGAAGTCAAACATTTTGCCTAGAAGCTGGCTGCTGCTGTTTCTTCCATAAAACACCTGATATCACCGCCGTCGAGCAACGCCAGCAGGTATTAGGGATATCTGAGACTATCAATGTCAAAGTCTCTCATTATACAGTTCAGCTCTGTCGGGTATATCATAAAACCTGGTTCACAGTCTATTGTGTTGTGGTTCACCTGCGTTGATGTCATTGATCTTCGTTGAAATTGAAGAGACTGCCAAGCCGAGAGCTTCTTTTGCTTCAAAAAGCGCCAAACACCACGATATAAAAACCATCCCAAGCGCTTCAACCGAAGAGCGGCGAGGGCTCAATTTGAAGCTCCTAACATGCCGCCAGCTTCTTCTAATCTAGTATCCAAGGATCGGTTCGCTCATTTGTTCGGTGGTTTACGGACTCAGAGCTACCCAGATCCTAACGCGCGAGGCCCCGGCTCCCATAGGCATGCAATCCCATTTCTCTACGGTGCTTATATATTGAATGAAGACAAGGAATATGATGCTAACTAGTGCTCTCTAGCATCCGTACTTTGGCATGGAACCCAACGGGAACGTTGATAGCAACTGGGTCTGTTGATCGAACACTGCGCATCTGGAACCCGGAACGACCTGACGTGAGATATTCGACCGATTTGCGCGGGCACACTTCCGGCATTGAACAGATAGCATTCAACCCCGTGAAGGAATCTGAGCTCGCCAGCTGCTCAAAGGATGGAACTGTCCGCTTTTGGGATGTGCGCGCAAAGAACTGCGTCGGCCGTGTCGATGTTGGAGGGGAGGCCTTTTCCCTCGCATGGTCCCCCGATGGAAGCGTACTGCTGGCTGGGAGAATGGTATTTAAATTCCTTGTTATTTGCTTACTCCAGTATCTACAGTATATGCTAACGATTTTTTATCCAGGATGACACATTAGTTCCTATATCTGTCGAACCAGTAGCCATGTCTACCAATCCTGCACCCAATGCGCCGAAAGCGCCATCAACCTACAAAGCATTGTCTCACCATAAACAACCCATCCGTACGAATGGGATTGCATTTTCACACTCTTTCGATCCAAACCTTTTCCTCACCACAGGGGATGGAACTGTCAAAATAGAATCGTACCCATCTTTCGACACACTACATACGCTCAATGCCCATACAGCCGCTTGTCTTTGTGTCTCGCTCGCTCCAACTGCGAGGTATCTAGCCATTGGCGGAGGAGATTCACTCATTTCTCTCTGGGATACAACGAATTGGGTATGCCAGCGCACTGTTTCGAGTAGTGGTGGTGGAGCCGTTCGCGGTATTAGCTGGAGTTGGGACGGACGGTTTATAGTGGGCGCCTGTGACGAAACAGACTGCGGAGGCACAGGTCTGGAAATATTCCATGCTGAGACTGGAGATAGTGTATACACTATACCGACGGGCAATCCCAACGTTGGGGTCCCTGCCGTAGCCTGGCACCCATCCCGTTATTGTCTTGCATATTCTCTCTATGCAGAAGGTATTGGGAGTGGCAATAACGGCCTACGCATCGTAGGTGCCGGTGCCGGTGACTTTTGAAACCTGCTGATGATATATGAACTAAATAGAAAGAGATGCCAGACATACCTTTGTTACAGTATAATGACTAGTATGATTCAGGTTTCAATTATGGTGATAGGAATAGCTACCGTCAGCGCCATTGATTTAAGTAAACCACAGAGTGACCATATAGGGGCAAACAATTGGACCCGAAGAAGTCGCTGAATTACAACAATTGACTGTCTGCAATAACATATCAAAATGAAAAGATCTTACATGTGTTACAACTTTTAATTCAACTACTAGAATGTATGAAATAGTTTTCTCGGTCGCATATTTTTCGTTTTGACCCATTTTCTTCTAATTTAGATCATCATTTGATCAATTCGATCGCAGGATACAATTGCCGCCGGTGTATGTGTACATAAGAGGAGATAAACGCGCCCTCCGCTTTCCAAATCACTACCTTCCACGAAAAATGTTCACATATTCCCAAATTCTTAAATCCCGTATTAGAACCGTAGTTTTCAACCAGATATGTATTCCCCGGATCATGACGAGAACATTGGGAATATATAAATAAGCGACCAAAATACTCGCTAGCATATGTGGGGCATGCGAAAACTAACATAAAACCCGGAAGTAGCATGAAATACTGAGAGGTGGGTGAATAGTATAGATGGGACGAAGTAGTATATGATAGAGTGATGGGCCGTTTGGGAGAGTAGGGATGGTAAAATTCAATTAAACTGTGTGGTGTATATAGCAAAAGCGTAGATTCAAAAGTGGTATAGTTAGTGTGTTGTATATTCGAAAATACTGGGCTGGTTATCGGCTCCATTGGTTAGTATTAAAGGTTTCAGGAGAATGAGACCATGGTATATCTTCAAGTGAAGATAAAACTGCTTCCATGGTTGATGATGTAGGGGTAGGGGGTATCAAATCTGGTTCATTGGGTTGGGATTGTTGCTGTTGTTGCATAAAATCCCACCCTTCGGGTAAGTTGAAAAGCTCCTGTTGGAACTGAGCCTCGGACGCGGTTACCGCGAAATCCCGTGGGAGAGGTGTAGTATTAGTTTTATTTGGATTTTGCATCGAAGCTCCAAATGCGCTGTTGGTAGTGTAGGGCAATGAAGATGGAAGATGCTGGGGAAGAGGCTTCTGATTATGCATTCCACCTTGATTTGGGGAGGGTTGATCGAGATGCGCTGGTGAGAACGAGCTGTTTGAGGAGGTTTTATTTGTGTTTGGACTGGGATTATCCGAGCACGAGGGATGGCGCTCGCTTCCTCCGGTACTGGTACCACCAGCCGAAGCATCTATCTCGAAGTCCATGAATCTGAAATGGTCATCGTGTGCCTGGGGTATTCCTATATTGGGTATATTTCCAGGCATCCCTAAACCATAGACTTGAGATTGGGCAGGGAATTGTTGCCCCCTAGGTTTAGGATGCCCTTGACTGGATACGCCTGGGGGATCTGATGATGAGGTTGTTGCTGGTGACTTTGAAGATGTTTTTGGATCCTGGTTTTGCTTGTCCAAAAGGGCAATATCGATGATGCCGATAGCGCATTTTTCAAACTGAGAACGCACTGCCTATAACACGAGACACATATTAGCCGCACGATATATATCATAGGGTAGGATGAAACATACACGGAGGGCAGCCTGCCTAGCATCGTCCTCTGGGGATCTGTGTACACTGCTGTATGAGAATCTCGACACTCCATCATCTGTCATCAGCCCACTCCCTTCCAGATCTACATCTAGCTGGACGAGGAATGACTCTGCCAGAGGGATCTTTCTCTTAAGCGCGTTCATAGCCGAGAGTAAGAACTGGAGAGAAGATCTAACGGCTTGGTCTTGGGGCCTAGACTTGAGGTACTGGACGAAGACTCTAGCAGCAACATATAGACAAAACACAAGGAAAGGGTTCATCTATCCATGCAAACGTCAGCATTGGTTGGTCAAAATGGTAAATTCGGGTGATTTACCTTTGCTAAGTCCATATGAGAGACCATTTTCATTATGTGAGTGATTTGATCCGCTGCGATGATACAGCGTCGTTTACTCTCTGTGGATATCTGACCAGGCATGCTGTGCTTTTCCGCCTTATAAATCGCAGCCTGGTGAAGACATATAGTCGAGGCATGGATACACATGTTGCCAAAGACGATTTCGGAGTTGTTGATGCCTTCTGGTAGACGGAGGTGGTTAGGTAGTGAGAGAGATGTGTGAAGTAGGATGTTGTCGAGGGCACGATGGCGTTTCCAGAATTCGCCGTTTAGATCGTGATCCCTGTCATTAGTGGTGACACGGTGAAGATGGTGTAGATTACGGCCAAACATGCATGCTAGCAGTACCGTAGCTGCATACGGGGATAATGAACTTGTTTCTTGACCGGATATAGTCTCTGCGAGGGATGAAGTCGGCTGCTCCACGGAGTTGACAAATGCTTCTTCAGATGCAGGGAGATTTGTCAAAATCTAGACAACCAAATGTCAACACTAGATATAATACTTGGATGGGCTTGGTCAGATAAAAACTTACATCTCTCTCATCCACACTCATCGGCCAGCCTGTACCAGCCGAGGCATATCTATCCTGACAGAAAGCAGCCCAGAAGGTCCGCCTCCTCTCCTCGCGCTCTGTCCAGTCTCTGGCCGGCGGTAAGGCCTGTTTAACATCTAGACCACGAGCATCCTGACGGTTAAGGCCCAACATCAAACAGAGCCGCATCCCCGAACCAGTACTCATCCACGCCCTGGGGAAATACATCATTTTAAACTCATAACACCCGATCAATAGCCAGCATTGTGCATGTGCTACCGATATAATGTTCTCACCTAGACCTTTCATCTGATCTAGTTCGGCGTACTTGCGAGCGCGGGCGTAGAAATGGGTATGTATGTCTGCATATTTGTCTGTAGCAGCGGCCGCATGCGCCCACATGATGTACCGCAGACATATCGGTGGGCGCATTGAAGGTGCCAGATTCATTGCTGCATAATAGCGCGGTTTATGTATCATGGGAGAGGACGGGTGTATCTTTTCAAAATATATTTCGTCCCTATTATTGAATATTAGCCATTCATATCAACCACTATATCAATCTCAGTAGAATAACGTACAATTCATCGATAACCTCTTGACTCGGTAAGGGTTCCTCCAACCCTAAGCCGATCATTTCCCACGAGAATTCTCTCGAAGAAGCACTGTTCGAAGTTGGAAGAGTAGCTGGTGGGGGTAGGATATCTCCCATATCTCCAAACATATCCATACCATCGAGGGATAGATTTGGGTCTGCTTCGACGGACTTTGGAACTGCAGTACGGATGGGAAACATGTTCGGTCGTCCCTGAAACGGCGCATTCTGGCTATCAAAGGCTCTCGTAGGCGGCGATGGTCGACTTGACTCCGCGGTATCGACTCCCTTCAACAGAGTCTCGACCTGCGCTGTTTGTCCAAGCTGTTAGCAGACCTCACTTGTATATATAGTTGACCAAACCAATGCTGTCCATAGATTCTCATACCTAGTCTGGCTTCCAAGTGCTTGACATATCCTCTCTTTGGACCGCTCTTCTTCCTGACTTCGTTATAAGCACAGTCATGGCCCAGCCGTGAACAATTCCCACAGCTCGGTTTTGCCCCGTCGCATCGAAGCTTTCTCTTCCTGCAAACAACGCAGGCAATGCGCTTTGGTCTAGGTATGTATCCCGGGTTCCCTTCCTGGGCACCTGGCGACTCTGCCCGAGTCCTCGTTGGTGCCGCGCTTTCAGCCACAGCTGCGCCGGTCTGCTCGTTGCCGCCCGCCATGGCTGCCTCAGGGGGAAAACAGCTGATATCACTTGCCGTCTCCCCGTCGGCCTTGAATCTCCGTTGTCTGCTGTATTTCTCAGTGGCGAGTTGCGGGGGAGCCAGTCGTTGATTGGGAGGGAGTGGAACGGCGGGAAGGATTGAGGCTCAGAATCTGATAAACGCGGGTGTCGGCCGTGGCGACATGGACGAAGATGAAGGGCGTCTATTTTATCTGATTGATAGTGACATCGTGTCTTGTTCTCCGGCTGTACAGCGTTTTCTTTTATTACCTTCAGGCGGCGTAAAAGCTGCTGCCTGCGCTGTGGATAAGAATTATGCTTGTCTAGTCAAACTTTTTGCGATGCAAGTTGCCGTCATGGCATTAATAATCAGAGCTGACGATGATATTTATAGACAGATCTCAGCCGCGAAAGGGTCTAAGTATGATTAGAAAGAGTATGGGCCAGAATATTAGGAGTAGTAGTATAGTAGTATATCAGATTGCCTTTTAGTACATGAATATATAGTACACGCTCCCAAAAGAACCGTAGCAAAAGGAGCTCTATCATCAACTCTACAACCGTACAGCAAGGAAAAGGACAGCAGGATGTGAGGCCACTAATTGTATCCTCTGCGGCGTTTTCCTTGGTTGCGGACTCTCGGGGTAATGACATCTCTGTTGATGTTCGCCTTGATTCTGGTCTTGTATCCGGATTTGGCCTGTTCCATTGAGTTAGCAATGTTACTGCGGCACTGTGATAGACGGTGGAAGAAAGGTGAAAAGGACATACCGGTAAACCCCATGGACTCTTGGGATGGACACCACCCTTGGACTTTCCTCTACCACCACCGTGGGGATGGTCCTTTGCGTTCATGGCCACACCACGGACGGTGGGCCGGATGTTGAGCCAGCGCTTTCGGCCGGCCTTACCAAGCTGTGCGTACTTCTTGTTGACATTGCTGGCAACTCCGATGGTGGCACAGCAGTCCTTGTGGATCAGACGGACTTCACCACTCTGCAGGCGGACGGCAACGTGCTCGGACAGCTTCTTGAGCCTCTTCCATTCCAGCTCAGACATGACAGTTTTCTCACCAGCAGCATCAGCGTCACTCTTGATCTCGGCTTCCACTTCAGCATCTAGCTTAGCGTCCTTGGCCGCTTCGCTTGAGGCTTCTTCGGCTTCGGTTCCTTTGCTGTCCTTTGACTCAGCGGTTGCGTCTTCTTCCTTGGGCTTAACTTCTTCCCATGGAGGAGGTGCTTCACCGGCTTTGGTCATCAGGATACCGTATGTCCCAGCACCACGGCAGAGCTGACCACCTTTCCCCTTGTGTAGACCAATGTTGAAAATCATTGAACCGATAGGAACCATGTGTAGAGGCAGACAGTTCCCTCGTCGAGCGGTCTTGGCCGCCAGCACACCAGGGTCAATACCACCGCCCATAGCCTCCCACAGGTCATCCGGGATACCGGCACGATAACTCTGCACGATGTCACCTTCCCTCATTCCCTCTGCCGCAAGAACGTAGCTCAATTTCTTTGTAAGCTTAGACTTCAGCAAGGCAATATGCGCTGTCCGGCCGGGGTCATGCTCGATTCTCTGGACGATATGGGGACCAGGCTCGTTCCGCTCAAAATCAACAATACGTATTCTTCGCTTGTGACCACCTCCTCGATGACGGACGGTAACTCGTCCGGTATAATTCCTTCCACCTTTCCCATGACCTTTCTTGGGGAACGTAAGCTCGTGGACTGGTCTGCCTTTCCATAGATGGTCGTTTATAGGTCTCCGCAAGTGTCTGAGGCCGGGTGTACGTGGTGTATATGATCGTAACTGGATGGCTTTCTTATCACGGACTGGAGGCGGAGCCATGGAAAGGTCATCCTCATGATCAGCTGGGTCGGTGGCTGTCTCTTGTCTCCTGAGGGGAGTGTTGGAAAATGGCCGGTATGCGAGCGTTGTGAGGCACTTGCAGGACCGTTGAAGGCCGCCAAACGGCACGCGAGCCTGCAGCATGGTGCAATTGAGTGCCTGGATGCTCTTTGCAGGCCGGTATAAATTTCGTCGATATCCAGGTGTTCTTCCGGCTTATTGTTCCATCAAGGCTCCAAAAAAAAGGTTCAATTGCACTTCTTCCTCCTTCTACTTTGTATGCAGAGGTTTTAACCGCCCTATATCGTCGCCGAGATAATGCGCCGACTGATTTGAATCAATCCTTCTTTGCCGTTGAAGCTCGTCGTCCTTTTTTCTCTTCGTTGCTCTTTTTGCTTTTCGATAAAAAAAAACTTTTTGGCCGCAAAATTCCTTGATCACGTGATATCGAATTGGCCAAGCAGGACAGCAGCAGAAGGACATGGAGAAGAATGATAGTAAACGGAGAGGAATAGAAGACAATAGAGGGCCGACATATCAATAAAGAGTGGCATTGAATAAGGGAGTTTCATAGTTATCTTTATATACAGTGTTTTCTTCTGCGGCTGCCACCTAGCAACACATACTATATGCGCTGCCACTTCCTCCTACTGTTTTACACTACATATAAGACGAAACTTATGCGACGAACAGAAAGGGGGCCAAGAATGAATGCCCAATCTACCAAGAATATAAGGAAATAATAATAAATAAATAAATAAATAAAAGGAAGCTCGAAATATGGACCTTGACGATCGCGTGGTGCGGTAACCGAAATACCATAATGACAAGACGAAAATGACGGTTTCTGTGGTAACGCCCTTTGTTTTGGTCTGCGTGCGTCACCCTGATACGCCTGCACGGCCAAGCGAGAGCGTGAAAAGCGTGCAAAGCGTGTATGGCGTCTGTACCAGCCGCGTATCGTGACCGTTCGTCGCCAGCCCAAAACCCCCCAAAATTACAGGGCTAAATTACAGCAGCGAAACTTTTATATCTTTTCGACTTTCTTTGACCTGCAAAACTTCAACTTCTTCAACATCAACAGCACCGCCAGCGTCGCCCGCACGACAGCACAGCATCTCCTACGCCGAATATCACCACGCTCCGGCTGCAGCTTTTACCTTCTTCTCATCTCTTACTCGGCGTATCACCAGCTTACCGTCGTCTCCTCAGGGTTATATATCTCTGACGCGGTCGATTCTCGTGGGGTCTGAACTCATATAAACATACGCCCAGAAACCAGACGCAGTCACCGTCTCAGCCAAAGTTACAGTGAATAGTCAAGCAGCAGGTCATCTACAGTCGATAGGGTGAGTTTGGCTGCTCCAATTCTCTTGTTATTTCTTCCTGTCGTGGTGTGTGGCTGGTGGTGCTGCCAGCACGCGAATTCTTTTGCTTCTTCCATGGATGAGGCTTATTTACACGGTCGACCACCACCACGTCCTATCAACGACCATGTTATTATTCCCTTAATCCACCACCACCACACCACCACCGCTACCACTACCACTATCACTATCACTATCACTATCACGTTACAACAATCACTACCACTGCCAACACGCTTATACTTGCTGCAATTCTGGTTCTCGCTTTTGTTATCACTGCTGGCTGCAAAGTGAATCGCGAAGTTCTGCCAACCAAGGCCCAACTGACCCAAGGTACCTATCAAACAGGTTTCTACTTACCCCCGAACACGTCCGCAAGCAGGCCAAACTCCCTGTTCCTAACCAGATACCTATATCTGGAGACTCGGTATCAGATCTTATTTTGTTTTGCTCAGTAATATTGCCAGTGTTGCATGTTAACATACATTCACCATGCCACCGGTCAGTCACCTACCCCTTTCTTCCACCTGACTTTTGTCGTCGAATTCAGCTCACTAACATCTTTCACAGACACGAAGCCTACGACAGCGTACTGCTACTAATGAAAACGATGAGAATGCAACTGCAGCATCCACACGGCTCACCCGGGCCAAAGCTGCCGCGCTATCTGTGCCTGAATCGCAAACCGGCGCGGTCAAGAAGGCCTTAGGCGCGAGAAACACGGTCAACACATCCTCTACTGCCCTGCAACGGAAGAGGGCTGCTCTCGGAGATGTGAGCAACGTGTCAAAGCAGGACAACGGTGATAGCAAGCAGCTCAAGAAACCATCTGCCTCTCGCGCACCACTCACCTCCAAGACCTCGACTCAGACAGGGGGCGTACAGAAGGTTACCCGCACAAACACCACAAGAACTGCCTTGGGAGTCAAAGACTCAAACAAGAGAGAAACCACCACAGAACCTAAGCGTCCTGGCAGCGGCTCCGGCGTCATGGGCGGTCTCCAAACAAAACGCCACAGCAACAAGCCTGCCCGAGCTGACAGTGTTGTCAGTGAAGAACCACCACGCAAGAAGCATGATAGCGGGAAAGATGTCTTGAAAACGGAAGAAAAATCTGAGGACGAGGCTGAAGAAAAGGAAAAGGTTGAGGTCAAGGTTGAAGTTGAGACTGAAGCCAGAGTGGATGTTGTCGATTCCCAGGAGTCCGTTCAGGATGAAGTCAAGGAAGAGCGAGACGTTGACGTCGTGATAGACTTGGATGCTGAAGACCTTTACGACCCCATGATGGCCACAGAGTACGTCGTTGATATCTTTGAGTATCTCAAGGAGCTCGAGCCTATCACCATGCCCAACCCTGACTACATGGACCACCAAGACGAGCTTGAGTGGAAGATGCGTGGTATCCTTGTTGACTGGCTCATCGAAGTCCACACTCGCTTCCGCCTCCTCCCAGAGACCCTCTTCCTCACAGTCAACATCATTGACAGGTTCCTCTCTGCCGAAGTTGTCACTCTTAACCGACTCCAGCTTGTTGGCGTCACCGCTATGTTCATTGCTTCCAAATATGAAGAGGTTCTTTCACCACACGTTGCCAACTTCAGCCACGTTGCCGACGATACTTTCTCGGATAAGGAGATTCTTGATGCTGAGAGACACATCCTCGCAGTTCTTAACTATGACCTCAGCTACCCTAACCCAATGAACTTCCTGCGCAGAATATCAAAGCCTGACAACTATGATGTCCGAACGAGGACGCTTGCCAAGTACCTTATGGAGATTAGCTTGGTCGACCACAGGTTCATGAAGTATCGTCAATCACATATTGCTGCTGCTTCCATCTTCCTTGCTCGTGTCATATATGAGCGTGGTCCTTGGGTATGTCATTCTACTTCACCTTCCTTTCACTCGTGTTTATCTAACTTCTCTCTTAGGATGCAACTATTGCTTATTATTCTGGTTATACCAAGGAAGAGATCACGCCTGTGTATGAATTGCTTATTGATTACCTTTGCCGACCACCAGTCCATGAAGCATTCTTCAAGAAATATGCCAGCAAGAGATTCCTTAAAGGTACACTGCCGCCAATCCATCTCTCCATCAGGACTTATCGTACTAACTATGCTTAGCCTCTATAATGACTCGACAATGGGCCAAACAGTACCACGCTATCATGAAGGCCAAGAACAATGCTGCCCGCGAACAAGACTCAAAACCCAAGTCGAAGGTCGTGTCGTCATAGTCATTTCACGATTCCAGGCTAAATGAGAAAAACGCTCTCCTGCTTGATCCACCTCCCCTTTACGAACACGTCTGTTAATAGTCACTCCCATTTATCCTCGCCCCGCAAGGCTGCCACTACGTATTGTACCTATCACTGCACTAATTCTGCATGTGTATACATACATAAGCCGTCTTCTACCCTTATTCTCATCCTCATCCAGCACTTTGTTGTTTTGGCGTTATCTTGCTTTGCTTTTTTCTTGGGATGTATTGCTTGTGGGTGGCGTTGTGCATTTGGAAAGCATACTCGAGCCGTTGTGTTTGTCTTCATCTTCCTCCTTGCCTCGAATTCCCTTCACTTCTCTTCTTTCATCCGTTCTCAGCCTGTCTCCTCGGCGATCTCAGGCGTTAGGCGACCAGGCTGAAGTGGAATTCTTTATTGTCTGCTTACTTTAAACTTGCTCTTCCCCGCTACCATCAATCCTCCTTATGCTTTACCGTTCCTGCTACCTGAAACAACCTCTACACCCCTCCCAAAAAGGCACCCTTTCATGTCTATTCTATTCTAAATCTCTTGTTCTTTGAGTGCCCGGTTGAACCATTTTTTAAAGCTTGTTTGAATTATTTTCTTTAGGGGGATGAACGAACGGACACGGATGGACGAACGAACGGTCGGCGAGGGACAGGAGCAAAGAGGGAGAATTCGAAACGGAGCAAACAAGTGACAAAGGAATCGATTGATATATTGGCTCTAATTGTTTCTTCTGCCTCCTTCCCCCATCTTTCCCTTCGGCTTGCTCTTCACTGGTTTTTGCTTCTAGCTTAGTTACAAGGTGGTGTGGGCGGGTGTTCTAGCGATTTTTTTTTATTAATGAAAATATGTGGGACTATCAATTGCCTCTCCTTCCACTCGTATCCCCATACAGATACAGGTAAGTACAAGGTAAATAAGAATGTAAACAACAGCCGGGCGTAGATGTTCAGCTTGTTCCCTGTCTATTGACCTCCACCCTTCGCGTTGTTGTTTGTTGATATTCGTCCCATTTAGGTTATATTGGCTGCTGACTCATCACTTTTGAACCTCGGCTCAACTTCAGCCGCTCAAATGCCTTTTTCTTCTTGGGCTCATCACTCTGGAACATGACGACGGCATGTACCTAAATATCAGAGAGACCATAATATACCCATATCAATACATTCCACGGCTTCTAGCTATATAATGACCTCCTCAGAATGCCCCTTCTGTGAAATCGCATCTTCATCAGCTCCGTTTCCGCCCTCATCTCCCCAAACTATACCCAATGACAGAGGAGGTAACTCTCAAGATACCCCAGACTCACCCACAGCGTTCACAATATTATCTACCAAGCATGTCCTTGCATTCTTAGACATTATGCCATTGACGAGGGGTCATGTGCTCGTTACTCCTAGACGACATTATCAGAATATGCGTGAAGTTGGCATCCATGACGCAAGGCAGGTTAGTTGCCCTTTACAATGCTACCTATGTGGAACTATAACAGGCTATAATATGTACGGGATAACTAAGTGACTCACTACTAGCTTGGTCAATGGCTACCGATACTCTCTCGAGTGACTGTTCGAACTGTCCTAGGTGAGGGCAAGGACAGCCGAGGGGACGACCAGGGGAATTGGAACATTATTCAGAACAATGGTTTGTTTGCACGCCTGTTCCTTTCGGGCTCCAGGGTTTTTAGCTGCAGTGACGTCTGCCCAAGTACATGTCTAATTATAACATCTTAGGTATACGTGCATCTCAGACAGTTCCTCATGTACACTTCCACATCATACCTAGACCTGCGTCGGGAGCGGATGCACCTGCTGGAAAGGGCTGGGTCATGTTCGGGCGCGGCCAGAGGGATGAGCTTATGGATGATGAGGCAGAGGAGCTGGTGGTTCCATTAAGGAATGAGTTAGCCAGGGAAGTAAAGAGAGTTAAGGAGGAGGAAGGCGTTGATTTGGACGATTGTGATTGTGGAGTTGGGAATGGACACATACCGCGATCGACCAAGCTGTAGATTCTAGCAGTTACAAATACCCGTACATTTTTCTTTTTCTAATGCAATGAAGAAATTAAACATTTATGAGCTAGCTTTCTCTTCCACGGCAAACGCTTCGAAGTACTTGAAGTTGAATTAGCAAAGGCCTTCACAAAGAAACAGTGACATTGGGGGCTTACTCTTCTTCTAAACGGGTTTAATTCGTCGGCGTTCCCTCTTAGTACCTCTTTTCGCTCCCTGCGGGGTGTAGATGATACTTCACTATCGGGCAATCGTCGATATACAAGTAGTCGCCGCGACCCTAAATAAGGTTAGCAACACCGTGCTTTATAAATATAAAACTGGAGGCCTACATTTGTTAAAAGGCTGTACACAAGAATCAAGGTGTTCAAGGCAGGGATGTTTCGGAATTGCAAGCTCAACGTCGTCTTCATTCGCAGTTGGCATCCATAGCGATATCCTGCCGTTGACCACTAGTGTCTGAGCAGCAAAGTCAAGTATATCATCAAGCATTGCATCAAATGGGTATGGGCGCTTAGGGAATATGTAATTCTCCCTCCTGTCATTTCACAAAGTTAGCTTTAACTGTTCTGATGCTCAATTAGGGCAAGTGGTAGGTTTACTTGTACGATGGAACGCCCTGGAACATCATGAGTTCTCCTTTTCGACTATCATCCTTATGTCCCAGGACTCTCAGCCCTTCTCGTACACCGTATGGTGGGTCGCATATAATCCCATCAAATATCCGGGTGCTTCGAAGAGGTGTGTTTGTCAAATCGGAAGTAAATGTGTCCAGGAATCTGGATAGCAGTCCATATTGTTTGAAGTTCGCTATGACTCCAGTTTCAGTGTTGGAAGTAGCCTCTTTCCCACGAAAGCTGCGCCCATCAATATCTGATCCGCATGTCACTGCTCCAAAATGAGCAGCGGCCACAAGAAAACTCCCTGTTCCCACAAAGGGGTCATAAAACAACTTTCCTGGTGCTGCATGCGTCATGTTGGCGGATATCAAACTCAGTTCTGCATCCATGGAAGTAGTACTGATATACTTCCGTTTCTTCAAGTTATAAGTGTTGATCTCCGTCCGGCCACCCTCTGTAACCCATCGACCGAGGTAGATACGTTTAAGTACTGGCTCAGTATGTGTTTTTGGATTTCCCGAAGAAGCAAGTTGGTGAGCGAACTCTTCAAATACACAGAATTTCTCGTCGGCATCAACCATCTTTATCGGTCCCTCAAAGGCCAAAAATGAAAAGGACTCTATGATCTCGTTCCTCTCCTTTGCCGATCGAGTTGATGCATAAGTGTCCACGTCAAATTTGAAAGACACAGTCTTATAATCGGGCCATCTGGACTCTGTTCGGTGGCGTACATCTGCCCTCAGCAGGTCGTAGGTATCTCCCTGGCCCCAGAGTTCATATATGTTTTTGGCCAAAATGCTGCGGCGCATGAGAGCACGGGCAGCTTCTTCATTTGCAAGCCTTACTATGCAGAATGGAGTCTGCACACTAGTATTAGAACATAATCCCCCTGGTATAATTATCTAGTTATAATTATTTACGTGGGGACGCACATACAAGATCGTGGTAAACTAGAAATTCTATCTCAACCCCCACCAAGCTGGCTAGAGCTGTGATTTCTGCTTTGCGAAACGATTCATGGCTCTGAGCAAACCGAATCAAATAATCAACCATCTTAAAACACCGGTATAGCCAGCGGGTAGTCTCTGAGGGCGTTTGGTATCTTTTCAACAATGGTTTCTGCTACCGTGAAATGAATTGAATATAAAATCTCTTCAACTAGTTACATAACTAATAATCCCTAGCCTCACTATAAGTCAACCAACTAGTTAACTTCTTAGAGCTGACTAAGCCGGCTACTCTTGACACATCTAGGCGTGTCCTTAGTAGTTATCACACAAGCGAGGTAATTAGCCGTGAATAATATTTATATTATATTAGGGTGATACGGTGGTCAAGGCTAACATTTAAAGGTACGACACCAGTAACTAGTTAACTACTTAGTTAGCAAGAGGGCAAACGACAAGTATTCTAACTTAGCTTAAGCAAGAATCATGAAGCTAGCCTCATGTCGGCCCAAACATTCTCTGCAATTTCCAGGAGCTCTGCCGGGGAGAACATAAAGTCGCCCTCCCCATGGCCGGGGTTGGGGTCTCGAAGTAGCATATCCTTGAACGGGAGGGCCATATCCGTCCCCTCCAGCCGAGCGGGATTCCCATGTTGGCCTCTGAAGATGTTCAAGGTGCTAACGGCCCTGGCCTCTGGCCGGGGATGCTGCCTGCTCGGCGCCGCACCGCGCTCCCACAAAGTGACATAGACATTGCCAGATTCCCTTTTGATGTCAATTGTAATCACTTTCAGCACAGCCCCATTAGACCGATACAGCCACCACCACGCGTCGTCCTTGACTTTGTCTTTTGGCTCTGAAAATGCGACTTCAAGGACAACAGTTGGCCATTTTATATTGGTTTCCGAATATCGTTGGCGCGGGCCCCACGAAGCATCTGGCTCTTTTTTCCTTTCTTGGGTTTCCATGGTGGTGCTTCCTCTTGATGACAGCAAGCGCCAGACTCCCATTTCCTGGGCCTTCAAGCTAACCAGAGCGCTAAAACGGGTGCCGGCCTCTTCATGGGGAGCAGTGGGCGTAGTAATGGCTAGCTTTCGAAACGAAGCGATGTAATCAAGTCTTCTAAAACCAGCACGGTCGAGCTCGACGAAGTCCGATTCTGATACGCGTGTGAAAATGGTGAAGGGGTTATCCTTGTGTCCGGCTAGAAAACGATCATACTCTCGACCACAAATAGTTCTCGCGTCGTCTACCCCGGGGTATCTATATTCACTTGTATCCAAGGAATGAGCAGCCAGAGCCACCTCGCCCGTATCTTCCTGCTCTCCATGATTCATTGTCCATGGTATTTTGAGATGCTGTGCTGCGTTACAGTGACGATGCTCCTGCTCGTCTGCAGCGGGACTGGCACTGTAACTAACTAGTTAGCCAGGGCAATTCTGCAACGGACAGAGATTTTTCGTTCTCTCAAAGACGGTAACAACGACAGGACAAGCGAGGAAGAAGAACGGGGGTTGAGGAAGTGTTAACTAGTACTTTTTAGCCTGTAATTTTTTAATTGGTTTAATAAGGACGAGCACTAGGTCGTTGTATGGGACGGGCTTCAATGCTTCATCAAGAATTATATCATTGAAGAGGACGTGGTTCCTCCTCCCCGTCCTGTTATTATTGTAGTTGTTGTTGCATCTCCGTCGCGAGAATAAGAAGCGACCTGAATTACTAAGCTCTGGTCTATTTAGATTTAACGGTGTCACGTTATGTACACCGAAGCTGTCCAATCAGAAGCTCTTAAAGTAGAGGGAAATTGTCCAATCCCAAGCCTTCCAGCAACTTCCGAAGACCACTCTATAGAGATTCACTTCATATCTCCCAAACAATTGCTGCCGCTATGAATGGCTTCCTCTTGACTCCCTCTTCCTCTATATCTATTATTCATTGTGCTCGTAAATACAGACGGCATGGCTCGGGGTGCTCGCTAAAAGGGACCGCCGATGACATCATCTGGCATTAAGCTTAATAACGGCAAAGCTTAATTAGTTAGTTAAGCTGCGAGCGGCAACCTGTTTTTACCTTTGTATATATATCGCGGAAGCCATCCATGGATAAGTGAACCGCAGAGCCCACTTTCGAGCGTTCTACTCAGGCACACCCTCCAAGGGCCTTTTTTGATGCACCGCGTTATTGTGCCTGTAGATGGACCGTAAAGAGGATACGCCAGGTCCGGAGGCACCAGCGGCATGCCCAAGCTCGTCCCGCTTGCTGGTTCCGCCAACCCGTCCTCCCAACTCTCGCAGATTCAGCATCCGGATACGCCATTCCGCAGCATCTTTAACCGGAGAGCCCATAGCGCGGACTACAAGCCTAAATCCGGAGCCCGTGAAGCGTTCCGACGACGATGTGGTTGCCTCGAGACGGAGAAGCAGTTCAGAGCCCCAACGTCCCAATTTCGGCAACGATGGGGCTGCTGAATACATGCCTATGACAACGGTGGCGGAGGAAGGGCCAAGCAAATACGCGCAGATTGAAGCTGGGCGTGGAAGATGGAGGTCTGCTAGCGCCTCGGCGATGTCGTCGTTACGTCTCGCAAAAGCAGGCCAGGAAGGCGTGGGAAACGTGAATGATGGCAAAGAGTACGATTCCAGGGTTGTCAATTTACTTGACGTTGTTGGTAGGTCTTCATTTACTCTGAATTTAGACTATTTCAAGCAAGCTAATATCTCCGGCTATAAGATCCCGAAGTCTCGACTCTCACGACGCTCACCAATGTGCAGAATTCGCTCTTTGTACCAGACTTAGGACGGTTTGTAAACCGCCAGCCGACCTACAATCTGACACGACCTCGGAGTGACTCTGTGGAATCAATAATATCGGCTGTATCTGAAGAAGAGGAGGAAACCTCTACTTCGGATACGGAGGAGCCACCTAGAGCTAAGCGGACTGAAACAATAACGTCAAACCTCAGTGTATCACGTTTTGCTGTCCTGCCGGAGGGCACCACTCTAGACGGCTGGGATCCGTCAGACAAGTGGGAAATCAATGACCATGTCAGGCATATGTTACATTCTCGGAGGTCCAAATTTAAGCGCGGGATGAAAGGGTTTTGGCAGTATGTTCAGAAACGTGAGTATACCATCCTAATACTTGATTATTGTAAGATGGAGCTAATATATATATTTTGGCTAGCTCTTGGATTCCTTGTTACTTTATATGCAACATTAATTACCCTATTTGGTCTTGCATGGGTGTTATTCTTGATCGGTATGTATTGTCTTATGCCTTAATTAGCTTTTGACCCTTAACTAATTAGATAAAAGGCTGGATATATGTTGGTGACCGCCAGTTATACGCTATCAACGTTATAGACAATGTCCTTGTTGCTCTTTTTGCCATCGTTGGCGACGGTCTAGCTCCATTCAGAGCCATTGATACCTACCATATGATTTACATTGCCTACTACCATCGATTAACCTGGAGACTTCGCCGGAAACAAGATCTACCAAAGCTCAAAAATCCAAACGATCTCCCGGAAGCACCATTGGAAGATGTTATCAGATCAGCTGCTAAAGAAAACGAGATTGATATTGAAATGGCAGCTAGAGACGTTATGACTAACGATAAGGAGGCTGAATACTCAGTTTTGACCCCTGAGCAACAGAAGAAACTAACTCACCATTCAAACAAGTTCTCCAAATCCCATACCTTTTATAAGCCTCATGAGACAACAACTCATCATGCCTTTCCTGTCCGGATGCTCATTGCCGTCGTTATACTATTGGATTTCCACTCTATTTTTCAAATAACCCTAGGTGCATGCACTTGGGGTATTGATTACCGAGTCCGCCCCACCGCTCTAACGACAACTATCCTTTGCTTATCCATATCCTGCAACATAGCATCTGGAATTGTCATTATGATCGGTGATCGAATGACGAGGAAGAAAGAGGTGATTGAGAAGATGTTGAGACAGCAGCTCACTCAGGAGGCAATCAAGAAAGTTGAGAAAAAGAAAAAGAAGAAAGAGAAGAAGAAGCTGGAGGAAAAGGCTGCTGCGAACTGTATACACGAAGAAGATGAAAGGGAGGATACGATCGAAACCTCTGTTGATATTGAGAAACATAAACCGCTGGCGGGATGATACGTTTTTGTACATGATGTTATTGGTTTCTTGTTTGGAAAGAATTCTAGTATATACAATTAATGAGTCCGGGCTGTTGCGGCCGGTGATGAAGGGTGTATCTCTTCCATAAGCTGACCAGTGGGATGACTGGAGCTGCGATTATTATGAACGACACTGCTAATTATAATCTAAGGTTTCTCTTCAAGTAACCTCTCATCCCCTTTAGCTCTTCTTCAAGTCTATTGTCAATCCAGCTCTCCCTGGCAACAACCTTTGTTTCTTCCTCCCTGCTTTCATTCTCGTTTTTTCTCTTTCGATTGAGTGACATCCTTCCCAGGGGCGCTCGCTCAGAGCGAAGAATCTCTGCCCTTTCGAAATCAATAACTAGTACATTCTCACCCTCTTCACTCCAGAACAAATTTCTCGGCTCTACATCATGGTGAAGAACACCTAGAGCATGAATAGCTCGCAATGATTCCGAAGCCGCGGATATGATTTTGTCCTTTGCAACACCGCATTTTAAGATCTCAGTGCCTGCATGGGCGAGAAGTAAAAAGTGCGGTATGTCTGCAATTCCATCATAAAACATGGGCCGCTTGGATACATCGATTGTGCCGAGGCATACAGGGACATGCACACCTTGAACTGGCCGCAGCTGGTTGTAAAGGGCTTGTTCGTTTCTGAGGTACTTGCTAAACTCTGGAGGGAAGCCTTTTCCTATAAGAGTGTAACCGTACTTAAAGAGGATGACTTCAAAGAGTGCACCACGAGCACCATGTCTATGAAGTGATTCACAACCCAGAGGCTGAGTCCAAGGGCTTACTATTTTTTGTAGTATCTGCGCGAGGAGGAGAGAGATGAACATGGAATGGTCGATTTGATGAACTTCTGTACCGTGCTCTTTGACATTGGGACAGGCCTTATCCAGCAGGCCGCCGTTCAAGAGACCAAGCAAGCACTTCTGCGTGCAATATCGCCGGGCACCATCCCTACAAACAGGGCCGGTGTAGGATGAATCTGAGTTTGGTGGCTGAGGCGGAGGTATTAACACCATGACATTCGCCGACCGGCGAGGTCTTCGACTAGGTGAATCATGGTCAGATTCGTCATCTTTGTCGTCTTCCCCGCTGCTATTTTGTTGCGAAGAGGTTGGTTTGCAGGTCGACCGCGAGGAGCGCGATCGGGTACGGACAGGGGTATTCCTAATAGCCATCTGGGTACTTTTTGATGGCTTGTAAGGCGTTGGAGGCTGTTCATCTTGCTTTTCATCTTCTTCCGAGATTGGCAAATATAAATCGCCTTCTGTGATTACCCACACCTTCAATTGACTCATGGCCCAGTCTTTCCAATTCTGGTCATGTGGGGTGGTGCGTAACGCTCGAAGCGTAAACGCAAGCACCTGTCCAACAGCCGTCTTCCGTAGCCTGTTGGTATCATCATCTTCACCTTCTTGGTTCATATCTGCCTCAGGAACTGAAAGACGATAATAAACAGTTCCAGGCTCGTCAGTTTTGAAGTGAAGGAAAATTAAGGCTTCACCCGTGCTTATATACCCGTATTCAACGCCAGCCTTAATCATGTAAGAGAAGGCCTGGGTGATGACTGCGGCCACCAAACGACGGTGCCTAATGTTCTCTGTATCATCATTACGACGCTCGACTACCTCATCAAGCTCCATTTTTCGTAGTCCTTTTTTAATAGCTTCGAGTGGGAGTTTATGGGGTGGCTTTAGTTCCCCAACCAATGCAGGCTTTTTGGCCTTCTCGCCTGCATTGTAAATGCAAAATTCATCCGCTAGAGGTCTATGAGAAGGTTCGGCATTGGTAGGTGTTGCAGCCCCATCGGTTCCTTTCCGGAGCTTTGGCGGACGTCCTCTAACTCCTTCAACCTCCTCGCTGTCGGCAAGACTATTTGCGTGGTTTTCAAAGGTAACCTGTCCTTGAAGTCCAAATACATGCCTGAGTCTCTCACTTTCAAAGAAGGCCTCTATGATCGACCCTACAGGCTCTGTGATGGCATCCCGCTGGAAATAGCGAAGGTCGAGTTCTGATGATATTTTTTTCTTTGTTTTCTTTCCGATAGTCATCATTCCATGCAATGAATCAAATTTAAGCTGTGCAATAAACCCTTTATTTTCTTGACTCAGCAAATGATCCCATATTTCCGCCTGTTCATCGTCAAATGAACGCCATTTACGGATGCGATGGGGACGGAATTTGCCTCTAGCATTGTCGGCACTTCCTTTGGTGGAACTTTTTAACGTTCTAGGGACAAGCCCGCTGAAAAGATAAGTATGGCAGGCATCAAGGTATTCAAAGAGTGTCAAGGGGCGTAACTGTTCTTCGAATGTCTGCTGAAGCTGCTCTGCTTCTTGTCGAGCCCTCTCTGCATCCTGTCGAGCCCTCTCTGCTTCCTGTTGAGATCTCTCTGCTTCCTGTTGAGCCCTCTCCGCTTTTTGTCGGCGTCGCTCTTCGTTCCTCAACTGCTCACGCAGCCTCTGAATCTCATCATCTGCCATTAGACACGGTATTTGGGGGTGTACTGTTTGCAATAGATAGTGAAGGGATTGCTAAGGCAGATATTGGCATAAAAGAGGCGTATGTCTGCTCTCTTATAGAGGGAGCATGTCAGAGCGAGAGCCTCCAGGCTGCTGCCTGGCGGTCAGGTGATTGGACCTTACCTAGTCCCTTGATACCTGGGTACCTAGTCAACTATCAATATAGAGCCAAAAGAGTGAGCCCACGCTGTGGCTGGTAAGTGGAAGTTATCTTTTGACATTGACTCAGGTATCACCGGTAGGATTTTGGGGATGGTCCGAGATAGTTAACCAACTATAGTGACTTAACTAGTCGGTTAATGTCTTGACTGCCGAGGTAGCACTCTAATAGATACATGAAGGGTGAGAAATAAGGCGTTGGGAGAAGAGTGAATAAATAATGATAATTGAATGGTGAGATGTTGACGGAATGGGCTATCGATGGCAGAAGGATTAGTTAGCCTGTCGGCCGGCGCCTCTGGATGGGGAATGGGTGGCGACGGCGCTTAACTAACTTCGTTAACCAGTTAACTAGTTAAAAATCAAGGCGATGGCTAAACGCTGGCTCCGATATCTCGTCAAGCGATACTACTCGTTACAAATATTATTTAAATAAATATTAATTTCATTAAATTGAATACATGTCGTATTTAACCAAAGACTCTGCCATCGTATTAAAAATTCAGACATGGGAACTAAAGACCCTCCCGAATAACCATCCATATCTCGCCGTGTCAAAGTGAAAGGGACCTAACTCTAGACATGAGGGCATCTCTAACTACAGAAGAGGGAAAATGAGTCCAGCAAGCAAGTAGAAAGACAATCTAATATGTGTACCATAATGATCCAACACCAGAAAACCCAAACCAACCCAACACCAACTGAGAAATTGTAGATCTGAAAAGGAATTCACTTAGTTCTGCGCATCAGTCACGGTAAAAGTGAACCTAGACTCAAATCCTTCAGCCTGCTCGACTTGAACCTTCTGGCCCTCGGGAATCATGTCGTGCTGAAGATCCCAGCCAGCGCGTCGACAGAGCTCGGAAACAACGACGTCGCAGTCTCCTAGCATGTCGACATCAAATTCGATGTGAGAGACGGGCTAGACAACAGCCGTTAGAATACCGAATCCACTATAAAGTCTGTTGGGTAAAGATACTAACAGTTCGCGAGATGTGAACTTGAGGAACATCACATGGTATGATTCCGGGAACTTCTGCAACAGGGGCGACTTTAAGGGATGTGCCGATAACGATGACGAGGTCTGTGAGCTCTCTATCATGTTCTAGCAGGCGTTTCTTGAAGATATCTGGTAGCTCTTCGCCAAAGAACGTGATGTCAGGCTGGAATACATTAGCTTTCGGTTATACTGGTTTAAGGATAGGTGAAGTAAACTTACCTTCATTACTCCAGCCGTAGGAAGAGAATATCCATCGTTATCGGAATCATCGTCAAAGGCTGACTGAGATCGAGACCGAGACTGCCTCATATTGCCGTTCGAATTACGTTTGCGCTTCAGGCCTCGAGGCTTGGATTGCAATCTCTCTTCACAACGCGCACATTTAGGGATTTCGCCCCGTCGGATAGTTTCGAAGAGCTGCTCGCCCGGAACTTGATGTTTGCAATCCATACATGAAGCTGTGGCAAAGGAGCCATGACATTGTATCATCTTTTCCGGCAGTATGCCAGCAGCACCTTCAATATTGTCAATATTTTGTGTGAAGTTGGTCAGAAGCTTGCCTTTATCCTGGAGTAGGCGGATGAAGGCATGTGTAGGAGAGTATCTCTTCTCTGTGGGTAATATATCCTTGGCTATAGAGTAGAAGATACTTGGATCTTCACGGAAGACTTCAATATCAAAAACCTCCTGGGGATCACTCAAGCCGAGATGCTCCAGCTTCGAGTAGAGTCCGGTATCTTTTGATCGGAAATCGGGTATCCCGAGACTTGTAGATATCTACAAACGTCAGTTTTTGATGCTATACGGCTTCTGGACAGAGATAGCTCACCCCTGCGCCCGTAATGACAATGATATTCTTAGCTTTCTGCATCAGCTGAACAACATCATCAATTGTATTGTAATCTGGCAGCTTGAGGCGTTTTGAGCTTTCTCTAGACATGCCCAGGGACAGGAGTGGGTGATATGCCTTGTCCGGGGCACCTTCAAGGAAGGACGGAGGCATGATTCCAAAAGCCGTACACAGCGTTTTCGCGCTGACTGTGCCCCGGCCAAGTGTTTCTGCAATAAAAGCAGCCTGTCCTATAGAACGAAGCCGTTTGCGATACGTCATTGCTTCCTCAAAGGTGCATGCTCCGGGCACGACTATGGTGCCAGTTAGTAAGGAGGTAGACCCGGCTAGATATAAAAGACGAAAGCGAGACTCACCACCGCCGCGCAGGTGCTCATCGCTGATAAACTGCAGCGCGTCCTCATAGAGCGAAGCAGTCTCCCAGTCCTCGCTGGAGTCTTCTTCCTCGCTCTCCTCTGGTGGATGCGGCGCGTCCTCTGCGGCCACACGCTCGCTGCCGTCAGCGTCATCGGCTCCTGCAACGAGAGCGCCCTCAACCCCTTCGTCACCGGCCGGCGTCGCCATGACGTCCATAATCGGCTGGAATGACACGAGCCACAGCTCAATGGCGTTGCGGACTGTTCAACGTTGCTGAGAAATACGGTGCTTCCCGCTGGTTAACCAGAGTCGGAGGTTTGGGATTATCCGCGCTTCTTACTAAGGGCGTAAGCGCCGGCGGACTCTGTGGCTGCGTATCTATATTTATAGCCATTGCTTGCTTTGTTTGCCTATTTCTTTCATTTACAGACATCTTCATACGTTGAATGGAGCATGCAGGGGTAGAAGAACCAAGTGTATTTTCTTTTTTTCCCTTAGGAGTCTGCCATGTCATGATCATTACCTGAATCCGAGTCAGTATCATCCTCCCATACGTCATCATCGCCGACTTCATCGTCTCCAGAGATGCCCAGTTCATTCTGGATCTCCTGGACAAGCTCAATGGCATGTTCTTTGAGCTTCTCATCCTCATAGCCGACAATTTCGCATAGCTTCAAGGCCTGCCTGAGCCATTTCCGGCTGGTCAGGAGAGTAGAAGCTAGTTGCTCCTTTGTCTCTGCATTTGCCTCTCCCTGGCTCTGTTTCTGGTCCTTTTTGCTTATGAGATAAAGACACCATCCGCCGAGATACCATGTCTCAATGCTCTGATCGTCTTCAAACACCATTCTTTCAAGAACTTGAAGCGCCTCATTTTCCATTTCAACCTCCATTAGCAGGCGAGATAAGCTTATCCTGGATGGGAAATCTGGTATAAGTGTGCTTTCCGGTGGCTCGTCTTTCCATATATCTAAACTTCTTGATAGCGCTGCTTTGGCATCGTCGAACCGGAGCTGGGATATCCGGATCGATGCTAAAGTCTGTAAACACTCTGAGGAATCCGGGGCCACTAACAGTGCCTCTGTTATGAGAGCTTCACATCTACTCTCTGCGTCTTCTTCCCATCTATTACTCAGTTAGTTGCGTGCGTTTGTCAGCTGTCAGGAGTTGAATATACTCACGATAGATCCGTCATATATATCTCCACCACTCCGCAAAGCGCATGTGCAAGCCTTTTCTTGAACCCTTCCCTTATCTCCTGAGCAACTTCGTCATTTTTCCCCTCAAGAGACTGTAGATTTCTCTTCAATGCGCCTACACCTCTCTCAAACCACCGCACACTGTCCTTGCCGCCTTCTGCGCTCAATTGGGCCAGCCATAGGAATTTCTCTGCGCCTCCATCGATTGTCTCGTCTATCTCACCCTCTGGATCCAGCTCAACGGCTCGTAGGAAACTTTCTCGTGCAGAATCTATTTCACCCAGCTCGACGTATATCTCTCCTATCAGGTTTAATCCAACTAGGTATTTCGGTGAGTCGGAAGGTATGTTTTTAAGAGCTCGTTCGACAAGTGGCAGTGCCTCGCCTGGTTGGCCGGTCTGTATCAACACTGCTGCCTCTTCGAACAGGGTTTCAGGGTTCTCCATTGGTCTCGTTGACATCCCTTTTGTGCCGTGGAGGACCGACTCGCGGGTTTTCTTGGACTGTTTCTTCGAGGGCTTGGTTTTGGCCATTGGCTTTGCTGTAGCCTCTGATGTCGCTATAGATATTAAATAGGGTAGTTGAAACGGTCCATTAGGTGTGTCAATGGTACGAATTAGATTTCTTTTTGAATTAATTTGTCAACTCAGCGTTGAGATATGATGCTTCTGTGGAATTTTGAGAAGTTAAAGATAAAAAAGTAAAATAGAAATAATCAGCCGCATGTTTGTCTTGTTTGCATGTCGATAACAAACCCGATAACGAAAGACGACGAAGAAGAAGAAATTCAACATCTTGACGGACAATCAAGACTTGATATAATTAAAGCTAATTAGACTGTCTAACTTTCAGGCTTGTGCCGGTCCTTATGGTGCAAAATGGGCCGTGAAGAGCAGGCGGAAGAGAAGGAGACGCTGCAGTCTATCTTTCCCGATGAGCTGACGGGTAAACCAAGAAAACTCCTACTCGGACGACATGGAAGAGTTCATGGCTAACAAGACAGTTAGAAATCTCCGATAACTCATATCGCATCTCTATACGCCTTGATGTCACGTCCCAAGATGGCGAGGAGGCTGAGCCTCCGACACTTATCCTACAAGTCACATATCCAGAGGACTATCCCGACGTAGCCCCTCGACTGGAGCTATCCACCCCTCCCAATGCGCCCAAATACCCCCATCTCGACATCCAGGAAGACCGAGACAGGCTGCTGGAGTCACTTCAGTCGACAATAGAAGAGAACCTGGGGATTGCCATGGTATTCTCGCTAGTCGACTCTCTGAAAGAGGGAGCCGAGCTTCTCATCTCAGAGCGCCAGACCGCCATACAGGCCCTGAAGGACATGGAAGCCGCCAAGGCAGAAGAGGAAGAGAACCGGAAGTTCCAGGGCACTCGGGTGACTCGTGAGACCTTCCTTGAGTGGCGGGAGAAATTCATGGCCGAGATGAAGGAGGCTGAGGAGAGGAGACAGGAGGAAAAAGAGGCGGAAGAGAAAAAGAAAAAGGGCGCTAACAAAGAGCCAAAGAAGTTGACCGGCAGGCAGCTTTGGGAGAGAGGAATGGCTGGAAAGGGAGACTACGAAGACGACATGGATGACTCGATACCTGAGAAGCTCGGGAAGGTTGAATTAACCGCTTAAGTCACTCTGCTATCAAGCGGCATACTTGCACCTGCCAACCTATAGTATCCCTTTGGCGGACATAGAATACTATAGACGGCGCTTTGTGTGGGCTCAAAATGTATGACAAACCACCGCTAGCCACAGGGATCCCCTGTGAAGCAGGCATTCTATAACAATTAGCCAACTACGCATTCCATTGGCCTCTTCTCGGATCAAATTGAACATGGGAACAGTAAAGATTGACCAAATCCTCTCGGCTATTTAAAGTGCCTTTTTTTACTCCGCTCCCAACACGAGCATTTTACGTCTTAAAACAAATTCTACATATTCTACATAGACAGATACACAGCTAGACACAGACGATAGATAGACACCATGGTCAAGTTCTATCCGTCCATCGAGCCCGATCACCGGGAATGGATGCTCAACCAGCCCGTCTTCTTCGTTGCCTCTGCCCCCAGCTTCGGGAAACACATCAACATCTCGCCCAAGGGCCTGCCGTCGACCTCTCTCGCCATCCTCTCGCCCAACCAGGCGGCCTATGTCGATGCTACGGGCTCAGGCAACGAGACTCTAAGCCATGTGCGTGAGAATGGCCGCATCACAGTCATGTTCTGCTCCTTTGAATCGTCACCGCGCATCCTTCGGCTCTTCTGCACCGGCAAAGTGATCGAGTTCGACGACCCGGCGTTCAAGGGCTGGGTCGGCAAGATGGGCGTCTCAGACAGATATATTCCCAGCGCCAGGGCCGTTATTGCGCTGGACATATTCCAAGTACGCTCTACAGTCTATGTTTATGTTTTATTTTATATTTATTCTACGATTAGTGAGTCACTCCGTCCTAACGTTCTCCAGGTGCAAACGTCATGCGGCTATGGAGTCCCTCTCCTGGCCCTCCGGACGGACGCAGATACAGGCGCCGTGAAGCCGTATCTCCAGGACCGGGACACCCTTGTGGACTGGGCTGAGAAGCAGGCTGAGAAGAAGCAGCTGTCCAAGTACATGAACGCGTGGAACGCGGAGTCCCTCGACGGGCTGCCAGGCCTGCGCGCCGCCATGATTGCTCGGGGCCAGTCTGACGCCGCCGTCAGCCTGTCCATTGCACTCTGCAAGTACCGTCGGCCACTGGAGATCGTCTCTGCCGTCCTGATGGCTGTCCTCGCCCTCTGGCTGGCCGGGTGTTTGAAGCAGCCGGCCTTTTTCGGTCGTACAGGTGTCATATTATAAATTAACATGCATGAGTTAAGCAACATTTTTGATTCAGCTCTGGCCCACGCCCTGGGGTCTAATTCGCCTGTAATGTCTATACGAAGACCATACGAAGATCGGTGGGATTAATTAGTCCGACTGGCCGTTGTTGATGTGTAATCCTCAGCTCCTTCGTGCGGGGCGGTTGGAAGCTGTAAATATTTATAGTTATATAAATACCCGTCCGTTGAGGGACAGCAGTTAGGCAACCATTCAATCAACCATACCATCGGCTATCCATCTAATACCACACAAGTAGTCAAGTACCAGATAATTCTCGTTAAGATGCCTCAGTTCACCCTCTATGCCAATCCAATTGCTACGGCGCCAGACCGGATCCTGCTCGCTCTCGCAGATGCTGGCTTCACTGACTTTGAATATGTCAACGTCGACATGTCCGCCAAAGAGCACAAGGTCTGTGTAGATAATCCATGCAGCATCCAGTACATTATTCACTGACCTCAATCAGAGTGCTGAATATCTTGCCCGCAACCCCTTTGGCAAGGTCCCAACTCTCGTAACCAGTGACGGTGTCACGATGTACGAATCCCGCGCCATTGCCCGCTTCCTTTGCACAAAGCTCAACCTTCCTCTTCTCCCTAACCCTGCTACCGCTACCGCCGCCTCACTCGCCCTCTTCGAACAGGAGCTTTCTTGCGAAATCTCTTACTTCGAAACCCCCGTCTCCGGCATCATCTGGGAAACCTTTATTAAGCGTGTGATCGGCATGGAGACCGACAACGCTGCGGCTGCTGAGCACAAGAAGAAGTTGGAAGAATACTTCGATATCGTGGAGGCTAAGTTCAAGACTTCTGGTAAGAAGTTCATGGCTGGTGAGGAGTATTCGCTTGTAGATGTCTATTATCTTCCCTTCTTGGCTCGTCTGTTTGACCGTGGTTTTGGAGATGTGGTTACCTCTCGACCTCAGATCAAGGCTTGGTGGGACCGTTGCATGGAGAGACCAAAGACCAAGGCCTGGATCGATCAGTCACCAAAGCTGGACGCCATCCTGGCCTCCAGAAAGTAAGCAGCGGATGATAGTTTGAAAAAGGCCGTGGTGATATCTCAAATGCATCTTCAATGAATTAACAGCGTTCGCATTTGTTGTTAATAAACCTTTGTATCTTCCTCTATAGTAGATGTAAAGAGCTGATATTCTCTTGGTGCCGTCGTTGCCTCAGAATGTCATGATTAGACAGCTAGTGCCAACATCAAGGTCGCCTCGTAGATTCTGAAGAGCCGGTCTTTGTCTCGTCAGCCTGGCCCATTTTCTCCCTTTGACGGGCCTCTTTCTCGGCCAATCGTCTCTCGGCCACGACAACATTCCACATCTTCCTTGCCAGTTCGAGGTCCCTTTCGTCCCCATTCTTAATCGTCTCCACCACGCGGTTGATATTCTGCTGGATGGCTTTATCCCAAGAATCAGTCTCCGTTCTCGAAGTGATTTGATCCCACAAATCTTCATCCTTTGCAAATAGTGAATCGACACCCAGCTCTTGCCTGCGCAAAATATTCTTCCATCGAGCATCCTGTCGGATCTGTATGGCAACGCTTAGATTCTTTGGTTGGGGTTTCTTGATTCGGAGGAATGGAATTCCACGCGCACAGGCGAACCGGGGTACACGGCGGATACCGGAAACAGTAGGATAAGGACGTGCCAGCACCGATTCTAGAACTCGTTTGGCGCTAAACCGACGTTTGTTCTGCTTCTTCCTTGCATCTTCAAGCTCTTTTTCCTCGCGTTCACGGGCCAATCGGGCGCATTTCTGCTTATACCTCTCTAGGAAAGGTTCAGTCCCAGCTATGAGGGAATCAACTCGTTCTATGCTTGTGGCATCTCCCTTTCCGCATGACTTCATCAATTGCAAAGCCTGGAGCGGTAACAAACGGTAAGTAATGGCGTAGATCAAGGATAACAGGCTAGGGAAGCTACCTCATAGCCGGCTTTCAAGGACTTCTCAATTCGACTAGGGCTCTCAATTCGTTTATCTAGATGGAATCTAGCTTGTATTAGCGCTCGGATATGCGATGCTTTCGAGCGTGTGAGCCAAGGCTTTGAGCATTGCGAGAGTAAGGCGTGGTAGAGAGAAAGGCCTGCATAATGGATCAATCAACAGAAGCTCCGAGAGCCAGAAACAGGCTGCTTACACGCTAAACGGTGGACACCAGATTGGGTTGGGTGCAAAAACCGGGGCATCAGGACACCGCAATATTTGGTCACTAGCCACCTTTCGAGGAACGGCGGGCTGCGATGTGGTGTTGCATTATTGTTGAATCTTCACGTCGACTCGAGATGCAAAACTTCAGACCAAGCACGAAAGGCAAAGAAATTTATCGTGGTCACGTGGATATTCTTATCTTATCGCGTATTTGCGTATTTTGTCCCCCCTCATGTCAATAACCCTAATGGATATATTCTTCTTCACGATATTTTATTATATTAGGGGGATGACAGTTGAATTGTTTACTATCATAGTTGGAGTTCCAAACTCCGCTAAATGAAATCACGCTTAAATTATATATGCAAGTATAAGATGCGGAGAGATAATGATCACCGGGGCGTGCTCTCAACCTCAAAGTAATTATCCGGTGGCGGAGAGGGGGGTTTAGAAAGTAGTCCCTTCCTGTGGCTGAGGGAGCTTCTTGTGTTGTGGTAACGCCATGTATCTAATATTCGTGGGCTTTTTAGCTAGACTCATAACTGTACGGTCAGATTTGTTAATTTCCTACCTTCTGATTTCAAGAAGCACAGTCTCCATGGTATTCTCACGTTTCCACTGGGCCAGGCAGGGAAGCTTGGAAGGGTCAACCTGAAGAAATTAATCAGTTAGAAAAAAGAGTTGCGTATAAGTGATATATCGTCATGTCCGTACCTTGCCGGTCTTTGGATCAACACATGGCAGGTTTACTCGTGAAACAAACTGGATCGTGGGGGGCATATCCGGGTATTGATCTCCACAATGAATGTTGACGCTATATATCCGGTTCTCGTGTACGCTCTATTCGCCTCCATGATTAGAAACGGAAGACTTGGAGGGTTGAGGAAATGGCTTCAGATGGGAAACACTGACATGTGGCGGACCTAGGATTGTGCCGTTCCAGTTCGTCATCATCAAATCGTCACCGTCCGCTAGACCATACGAGCATGCCTCTATTTTCAAGTTAGAGTTAGCAATAGATGTCAGATGAAGTGGCATATTGGTTATAAATTCGCATACCAGGGCCCATTCCCTTCTCTCCCTTCTCCAGCTCCTCTAGTAGGCGAAAGTTTCGAGGGACTTTAGCCGTCATGTTTGCGATGGTGACAGTAGTGTTGTGTGTTGTTTGTGTTTACGCGCTGGTCACTTCTCTTTGAGGATGCGCAAAAGTTAAGTCAGGCTGGCGCACGGTAGACTCTCTGATCTTCTTCCTCGCTTGCTCTTCGAGTTTTGTTTTTATATCGTCAGGCTCACAACTTGCATCTCGCCAAAAGTCACTCTCTGCAGAAGTTATGATTACTAAGGAAATGCACGTGACCATATCGGCATCCCGATGTAAATGCGATTGGAAGTTGTATCACGAACGAACAACATTCCATCTAGCATATTTTGGCTGATTTGCTCCAGTGTGAGACCAGTTATTTATCAAGGCGGCTTTGGCAGATATCTACAGGGGAATGGCTTAATTATACAGACAATCCTTGCATTTTTACGACTCGCAATCCTTGCTTGATGAGACGCCACGTACATTATGCCCAAATTCGATATCTGACATGACGTCCAACAATTTGC